TGGACATTGGACCACCCTTGTCCAATCCAGTCCAATCTATTGGACCATAGGGTATTGGACATTGGACTATGGTCCAATAATGCTAACACATAATATTACGTATTACCGTTGCAATATTTTCATTTACTATAAATAGTTCTCATTATTTTCCATATTTGTAAATATTTTTTGTTCTTTTTGTCATATATGGTAAACTACATTTCAGATTGAGAAAATAACGTGGTGGAAGCTGAGCAACCTTCAGACTTCATTTGTCTTAATATAAAAATCGATTCTCAAGTGTTTGACTGCTTTTATTATGTTTTATATGTTAAATTGTTGCATCGTTTTCTTTAATTTACATCTGATCCATTAATTACCCTCACATATTACTTAATACCCAATTCTATTAATTCGAGTTGACATGCAGTCAACAGATTGAAAAGATGGCTAAGCGGTGATGTAACGATCGCCAAGCACGTGGTCAAAGACCGGAGCCACCTCGGCCGGCAGGGGCCGAACAATACATAAGAAATCAACATCATGAGAAGAATAAATAATGACGCTCCATCAACTTCCGGATCCGGTAATCATGAGGTAATCATTGACCCGAGCAGGATTCAAGTCAAGTACAGATAAGTATAACGTTAAATAATGATGCAAAACCATGTGTGTAGTCTATGTCTAACTAAATTGCCAAAACGTTTCTCTCGCGACCCGATTCCACCCTCCCAAAAAAAAAAAGGAAAAAAGGAAGAAAAGAAGGGGGTAGACCCCAGAGGTTACAATGCATGAGACAGAATAGTCGAATCCTGCCATTTTCATTGACAACTTCTTATTTCCATTTGTCGGCCGGCCTGCATTACGCAGGCGGGAAACTACCGGCCGTTACTGCGCCATGCCGCATCTGCTGCCCATGGGATACCCGGCGCAATCTCAATTGCTACTTTTCCGGGTGCATATCCCGTTTCAGTTTATTTGTACATCGATAGCAAACTGATATATGCATTCTGTAAATAAAAAATCCATTCCGGGACATTACTCCGGATTCTTCCAAATATATCACGTGTGTGCAATGCTTTTCGTTATTACTTTTAAATTACCTGATACTGATCCTCTTATAATTAATCACATCAATGAAGTCATACTTAAATAGATTACCTTTTGTACACGTAACTTAATCTGATCCTAAATGATTCGATCCTGATTAAATTAAGTTGCCAACCCTAATTCCGCTTAAATTAATTACAGATTTCATGTGTACAAGTCACCTTACGATCGATATATGGCTGTTCTATTATTATAAATACAAGACTAGTATCAAGAACATTATATCATGAGAAAAAAAATGAACCTCGATTCTCATAATTAATCTATATTTAGTTTAAATGCATTTCTGGTTTATCCTATCCATATTTGTATAGTGTGAATTTTAAGGATAGTTATTCGAAATAAATTATTAGTAACTACTCAAAAAATAAACAAAACGCCCAATAAAAAAACTTATTAGGTTAGTAAAAAAACGTAACGGTAATGTTTTACCTTTTTGGATTCAACTTTTAATAGCATTATTTATATAGCATTAAATAGTGATATCAAAGATTGAATCTCATAAAGTAATAACTAAAACATTACATTTTTATTTGGCATCGCTTATAGACTTTAATTTTGGTATTATATTCAATGAGTATCTTTTTTTGCTATATTTTTTGATTATTCATGTGAAATATTTAAGAATTGATTTGTATTATATTGCACTCAATGAGTATCTTTTTTTGACTGTATTTTTTGATTATTCGTGTAAAATAATTAAGAATTGATTTGATATAAATTGTAAAGTACGTATTAGCAATATTTCAAATTTTAGCTCATCAAATTTACTGAATATGACACGAACAAAAAAACCCAAAAGACACCGTTTAACAGAATTTATTGAAGTTTTGAAAGAAAAGTCTAATGAATATAATCGTTTTGCAATTTGTATTGCATGTAAAGAAGCTGAAGGCCACGAATATGCATATTCAAAAAAATTTGTTAACACAAAAAAGCTTGTTAAATCACATCTAAAAAACTGCACACATTTCAAAAATAAAAAAGGGGAAGATGAGGCTACAAGAATACTAAATGATACGGACAATGAAAAGTCTATAAGTATTCAAAAAAAGCACAAGCATACATGTAAATATTATTAGATAAATTTTTTGTGTGTTTTAAAAGTTTAAAAAATTAACTAAATATAATATTAATTAGCCGGTAATGAATCTGAAGATGATTCTGACAATGATGAACAAGAATTCAGCGGACCTTTAGATTGTCATGTAGTATATGAGCTTTCTAAAACAAGCAAGCCAAAATTTGATTATTTCATTTTGAGAATGACAGTAGCTAATGGATGGAGTTTTAGATGGGTTGAAAACCCAGAGTCACAAGCTACTTTTAAATTTCTTATCCCAAAACTTAAACTTCCTTCACGCAAACAATTAAGTAAAAAAATCTTGAGTGAAGCAACTACTGAATTTATGTCTAAAATAGAAAAAAAAGCACAAGATGATAAAGTTGGGGTTACTGTGACATTAGATGGTTGGACAAATGTGGTTAACCAAAACTTATTAGGAAGTGTTTTAATTACTTCCTCTAGTGTATCTTTAATATGGAAAGCTTAGGATATTACTGTTGAAAGATTACGTGCTAGTGATGTTATCCTAAAATAGAAGAAATATTTAATGACTTAGAATCTAAAGAAATTAAACCTATAGCTTTGGTGACTGATAGCGCAGCAGCCTATGCTGCAGCAAGGTATTATTTATTTTGTTTATTTTAAATAAAGCAATAATTAATTTTGTATTATATTGTAGAAAGCAATTGCAAATAAAGTATATGGATAAAGTTTTTTTACCTTGCTTTGCTCACCAGTTAAATTTATGTATTGGCGAAATTTTTAAGGAGTCACCAGTATTTAAAAAAGCATTAGATAATGCAGTTATCATAGTAACATATTTTAAAAATGTTAATCATACATATTTTATTGGAAAATTACGAGAGCAACAAAATCTTTTGTATCATAAATATATTACCCTTATTAAACCAAGTGTAACACGGTGGAATTCTCATTTTTATTGTATAGGAAGTCTTCTAAAAACAAAAGAAGCTCTTAAAGTAATTGATATATTTAAATTTATGCATATTTATTAAATAATTATTAATTTAAATATTTTTATTTAGACTTTAATCGCAAGATATGAACCCCATGAATATGATTCTGATGAATCATCTAGTTCCCAAAATACTTCTAATTTAATATTGCCAGATAATATTTGCAATATTATTAATGATGAGAATTGGTGGCGACAAATAAGAAATCTAAAATTACCTTATTGTGCTTGTCTTAATTTATTGCAACGTGACAAAGCACGGCTCTTTGAAGTTTTACATTCTTTTGGTTATTTATTTAAAATAATTAGAGAGTATCATGATACAGATCTTAGTTCACAGCTTTTGAATCGTTTAGAAAAACGCTGGAACTCCTGGGAACAACCACTATTAATATTATCATTTGTTCTTCATCCAGCATATCAAATAGAAAAATTCAATTCTGATTTAGATACATTAACATGGGTTGATATAGGTGAATATATTCTGTACTACTACTTTGCTTGGTTTCATCAGCAGCCAAATTCGATTTTACGTGAACTTGAGCTTTTTCGTCAAAAACAATCACCATTTAACTCTGCAACCTCAAGACAATTTGGTAATGATGTTATTGGATATTGGAATTATTGTGCATCACGTGCTAAAGAACTGGGTCAAGTAGCATTGCGAATTCATGGGATTTGTGTAAATGCAGCCTCTGTTGAACGTCTCTGGTCTTCAATGGGATTTATCCATTCTAATCGACGTAATAAACTACCGGTAAACCTTTTTTTTATATTGCTTGTACACCTAATTCAGATAAAAACAATCAGAATTAGACAAAAAATTTTTGTCTAATTTTAATTGCTACTATATTTGGATTTGGTGCACAAATTATACTTTTTTATATATGCATTTACCTTATTAAAAAGCAAATTAAAGTTTCATAAGGTATTGGCAATTAGCCAATTACGTGGAATACTTACTCAAAATCGCCGGATTCAAGAATTGGATGAACTCAAAAGACTTTATGAATCAACCTCAACAACTGCTTTATTAGACTATTCTGAAGACATGTCTGATACTTCTTCAACTGATGAAGAAGATAGCTGCTTGGAAATCGAAGATGTTAATGAAGATAATGAAGATATTGCATTATTATGGTTATCAGACTTAAATAAAGACGAATATGATAATTTATTGGACTTAGAATCGACAAACATAAATGAATTATTAGATAAAGAACATCCAGTAAAAGATCACCAGGCTAAGTGGCCATTAAACAAATTGTTTACAGCTGATTTGGAAGCTCCTTTTTTTGCGACTAATATTTAGTAATATTAACTTTCAAATTAGGAATTTGTATGTTTTTTAAGTAAATATAACATTCTATGCTATAAATATCCTTGCTTTATTTTTTTGATGTTTTAAACTGCCGTGCAACTTATAACTAACATTATATTAGAGATACATTATGCATTTATATGTAGATTTTGATAGTTAGCTTAGGTAAAAATATATATTCATATATCTTTGCTACTCACTTCATTAAATGTAGAATGCGCCAAAAAATGTAGTTTTTAAAATTATAAAAAATGTAAATATTTTCTGATTTAATGTATCTCTAAATGAGCAAACATTTATTGTTAATGAAAAAAAATATAACACGGCAATATATTTTGCTATTTGTATATCAGTATTGCTTCTTGAATATTTGCCCGATGTATATACATTATCCATAAGTGTAACTCTATTATAAATGCGAAGATTAAATAAAAAAAAAACTTTAACAAAAGATGATTGGACATATTGGACCTGGACCATGTCCAGGTATATGTCCAATGTCCATGTCCAGTCCAATAGTATTAAAAGTGGGTGGACATATGTCCAGGGCCAACACTG